CTGTCCAGTCTCTTCTTAAAAACTTCCAGTGTTGGAGCATTCACCGCTTCTGGAGGCAGGTTGTTCCACTGGTTAATTGTTCTCACTGTCAGGAAGTTTCTCCTTAGTTCTACATTACTTCTCTCCTTGATGAGTTTCCATCCATCGCTTCTTGTTCTGCCTTCAGGTGGTTTGTATATGCATTTATACATCTATCTATATCTATATCTATACCCATCCATCCATCCATCCACCCACCTACCTACCTATCTACCTACCTACCCATCCATCCACATCTTCTTGTCTATCTATCTATCTATCTATCTATCTATCTATCTATCTATCTACCTACCTACCTACCTACCTACCTACCTACCTACCTACCTACCTACCTACCTACCTACCTATCCAGTGCACATACATCATGAATTTCATTCTTTCCAACCTACTAGAACCCAGGACAGAAGGATGGAAATAGAGTCAGGATTTCTTCTTTCTGTCAGCTTAGGAACTCTTTGAAAACTGAAAACTGATGACCCCAAGTTGGTAGGAATTTCACAGACAAAAAAAAACAAAAAAACCCAATCATATAGGTACAGACTAGGTGAAGCCTAGCTCAATGACGGTAACTGCGAGAGGGATTTTGGAGTCCTAGTAGACAATTATTTAAATATGAGCCAGCTGTGTGCAGGAGCAACCAAAAAACCCAATGCAATCCTAGGCTGCATTAACAGAGAGAATCAACTTCACATGAAGTATTAGTACTGCTTTATAAAGACTTAGCAAGAGCATCCTTGGAATGCTGCATCCAGTTTTCATCCCCATATTGTAAAAAGAGGTTGAGATTCTGGAAAGAGTGTAGACAAGAGCAACAAAGATGATTAGGATGCTGGAGGCTAAAACATATGAACAACGGTTGCATGGATTGGGTATCTCTTCCAGGACTGACCAGTTTGATCACTTTGCAGTCCAGGGGACTCACAGGAGTCTTCTCCAGCACCAGAGTTCAAAGGCCTCCATTCTTTGGCATTCAGCCTTTCTTATGGTCCAACTTTCACATTGCAACTGGGAAAACCATGGCCTTGACTATGCGCACTTTTGTTGGCAGGGTGATGTCTCTGCTTTTTAGGATGCTGCCTAGATTTGCCATAGCTTTCCTCCCCAGGAGCAAGTGTCTTTTAATTTCTTGGCTGCAGTCCCCATCTGCGGTGATCTTGGAGCCCAGGAAAATAAAATCTGTCACTACCTCCATTGTGACTTTAGACATACATTATTTACAGGAGAAGCCACATTGGTCTATTATTACAGAATTTTCTAAAAAGCATCCCATAGCGTCGGAAAGACTTTAAAAATGCCAAACGATGTTATTGTTTTGGTGTATTTTCAGTTTTCAGGTTTAAAAACTCCATATGGGACGATTTCAAAATGGCTTATTTTAGCTCAGTGCCACCCACAAACAAACAATCAAAACACTCAGCATTGTGTACAAACATTCCCATTTGTTAAAACTGCTGTTCGGGTGGGATGATGAAATGGATTAATTAAAAGAAAGAAATGATTTTTTTGTCTCCCGGAGAATGGTTAAAAGGGA